ATGGACCTTGTCCCGGTAGCCCTGGAGGTATATGGGCCAAGATCCTGTAGTGCTAGCTATATAAGCTGCCTCCAAGAAGCACAGGTCGGCTACCTCGGCAAGTAGGGCTCCATTTGGCCTTTTGCAAGGAGGTACCAATAGCCTCCCTGGTGGCAGCAAACTAGAGTCCGGTTTCCACTCGATGTGGCTGGATAGGGGGTCGCTGAAAAGATTACGGACATGTTCACTTTCAAGCGGGAGAAGAATTGCTCCTTGTATTGACAATGCGATATCATCGCCGGCTGCAACGAGTGCATTCCCATGTAACATGGCTTCTGAGATAGAACGCGGCGTCGACTCCAGCCAAAAGTCCGTACCTTCTTTCAACTCTTGCTTTGACACATATAGCCGCTCAACAAACGCTGGGATGTAAAGCCTATTCATGCGGCGGGAGAGCCCCTGGCAGGCTGCAACCCCTGCAAGCTGTATGGCCTGATCAATTATTGTTGGACGTAGTGAGTAGTTAGGTTCAAGCCACGTTCCAGTATCTGCTACAGTTGCAGTTGCACGGTAGGAGCTGGGATCAGCAGTGATGTTTTTGAGCTGCTGAAAGTGAGGTCCGTAGTCCAGACCTAATTTCTTCATGGCCCGATACCATGGCTGGGATGGTACATGACGAGGAAATGGCTTTCTGACAGTTCGAGCCAAGTCATCATATGAGTCTGAACCGAGGCGAGCTTGACCATGGCAATGCTTAATGCAGTCCTTGCCGTTATCAGCCATGATTGCGAAGTCATACCAATCAGATTCGAGAGCATCCGTGAGTCTGATACGTTTCAATGTAGTGACTACCTCAACTGGGAGCATATCATGTAGGATAAGAGGTGTTTTGAAACACATGTTCTTTATCGAGAAACTCTCACTGTCGGTAACCTGGCGTATTGCCTCTCCTATCATTGCGATATACCCCGCTGCAGGAAAAACAATATGTGCAGCCACGCGATGGTCATTCAGCCAGGGTACATCTTCGTATCGAAGAATGTTCCTCCATACTGGCTCCAGATTACTAGCGCTGGGAACCAACGAGCCCAAGAGCTCATGCTCTGGAAATCGACGAAATCTCCAGCGATGTGTGGCGGCTGCTTCCTTCCATAACTTTACATCGTGATCCCATGGGTAGGCTGGAAGGTCAGTCAGGACAGGTGTCTCGCTAGTGAGCTGATGGAAGTCTATGGGTATCCCATATGTGTATAGCTCGCCAATCGCCGACCATATGCAGCTCACCTGATCCCGTCCCCTTACCTGTGTTGGGATATATGGGGTGAGTTGTGGCACGTTTGCTGCGTCCAGAGTTTGTCGCACTGGGCCCGATAACGCTGAATGAGGCCCTATCTCGAGGAAAATGCGATCATTGGAGTCAGTCTGGACGATTCTATTCATGGCTGTCGAAAATAAAACAGGTGATTCCAGGTTCTGCCGCCAGTAGCGTGCACCCAGTTTCCTCGGGGTAGTGATGGTATCACCAGACATGGTTGAATAGAGAGGGACCATTTCTTCATTCAGTTGAAGTGAGCTCTTAATAGCTGCCTCATAGTCATCTCCCAGGACATGCATATGATCTACATGAATTGTTAGTTGATTGTTGCACAATGGAAGAGGCCATGGCCACATACGCGAATGATATGCAACATTCACCGCAAGTCTCCGCTGAAATATTGAAGGCTGACTTTCCGATAGAGCAAGTAATGCCCTGTTGATCTTCTCCACATCCCCTGAAATGGTGATGCTTTGAGGACTATTTTCGCACGCAATCATGAGACCGTTGGTCATATATGGCTCGAACTCTGCAGAGCTCATGCCCAAAGCCGCCATTGCTCCTTCTGGGCTTTGTTTGGCGATTTTCCCCCGGTAATAAGCTAAGATAATAGCACTTGACAACGGAATGGCCTTCGCTGCGTATGCAGCCGCTTTCCAATTGTTAGCTTGCGCATTACAATGCAGGTCGCAAAGCGATGATGAAATGGAGGGTAACTATTTCACTGTGAGGAGCTTACCAATTTCGCCGCTAGAGTGTCCAACTACCGACGCAGGGTGGATGCCCCATGTGCTAAGGAGGTTTACGATGCCTATCTGCACTGCAGTGCACAACGGCTGCGATAGCTCTGGGTCATCCATGCGAGCTTTCTCGTCAATAACCAAGAGCTTTTCTATCAAAATGTTAGTCTAAATGGCACCATGACAGCGGACGTCGTAATGCTTTACCTCGTATTCTCCATTCTGGAGGAATTTCCAAATTTTGTAGGACCTTTTCCATATCATCAATGGTATTAGCAAAACATGGAAAGCTCTGCAGTAATTCCTTTCCCATCCCAACCCATGAGGCCCCTTGTCCAGTAAAGACGAATGTTAAGCTTGGGAATATAGCGCGACGGATTGGAGGATCCGGAACGGTAAGAGGCACATCGTCTTGGCTTAGTAGATAGGTACGGTACTGCAAATGCTCCCGCCTCGCAGATAGAGTATGGGCAAGCTGACGGAGATCAGGGCGTTGACGGTCGATATACAGTCTAATATCGCGAATACGACTTTGTAGTGCTTTTTCGCTACCTGCGGACAAAAGAAGAGGGTAAGAACTTTGAGGCCTCTTAGGGGATGTCTTCGCCGCACTAGATTCGCGAAACAATGAAGGCGAATCAAGGATAATCTGGAGATGATGATGAGCGCTCTATGTACGCATGAGAGGTACCGTTGCCTTACATGTGCGTTAGCACCACCGATACCAAAGCAATTCACACTGACTCGCAACTTTCTGTCCCTTGGCCATGGTACCTGGGAAATGGGGACTTGAAGCTTTGCCTCTTCGAAAGGGACTATTTCGGCATTTTAGAAAATGATCATCTTTTGGTGAAGTTGACTTGGACAAGAGAGAAAAAGCATGGAGAGAGACAAGAACTTACTTTTGGGGTTTGGCTGATTGAAATGTATATTGGGTGGTATCACCTGGTGTTCTAGGGCCAATACTGCTTTGATCACACTGGTGATGCCGGATGCCCCTTCAGAGTGGCCGACATTCGGTTTGACCTGTGATAAGTCAATATCACTTCTCTTACGAACCACCTCCAATTGACTAACCGCGCCAATATATGTTCCTTTGCCTCGGAGAAGCTCAGCGACAACTGACGTTTCTGCGCGGTCCCCAACGGCCGTACCCGTTCCATGAAGCTCGAAAAATGCAGTTTCAGTGATATCCTCTATTTCAGCCCTTTGATACGCTTTCTCGATAAGCTGTCTTTGCGTTTCTGAACCAGGCATAGTTATACTCGGTGTCTTTCCATCACAGTTTGTGGATGTCGACCGGATAATAGCTCTAACGGGATCACCGTCTCTCAGAGCAGTGCCGAGCGGCTTAATGTAAATAGCATTGATGGCCTCCCCACGCCCATAGCCATCGGCATTAGCATCAAATGTCTTACATATACCATCTGGGGAGAGAACCATATTATCCGACATTGTGGTTGTCATAGTCGGGGTTAGAATAAGGTTCGACCCTGCCACAATTGCGCTAGCGCAATCCCCCATCTGAAGAGCCTGGCAAGCTTCATGAAGGCCGACCAATGATGACGAGCACCCTGTTTGCAAAGTCATACTAGAGTAACACTCAATTAGCTCTTGAATTTTAGTTCTCTGGTGAATCCGCCCCGAAAGAGAGGTCGTACCTAGGGCCCTTGAGATCGTATTCATAGGAAACACGATTAGCCAGCGCAAAGTTCCCTGTGCCTAGGACATGGTATCGATCAACATGGCAAGTATCTTTACTTGATAGATCAAGCCAGTCTTCACCGAAGACGCCCACATAGCATCCAATATCTTTGCCCTTCCAGTCCTGCTGCCCTGCATTTTCCATGCACTCCCATACAACCTCCAGCAAAAGTCGTTGTTGAGGGTCCAGACGGGCAGCTTCATAGCTACTAATTGAAAAAAACGGCGCGTCAAAGCAAGCCGGATCCTCTTCCAGGAAGTACCCATACTTTGTCTTCACGGTATGCATCTTCGAGTCACTGTAGAAACTTCCTACATTGTACCGGGATTCGGGGACCTCACAACGAGCGTCTTTTCTCTGCACCATTAAGTCCCAAAATTCTTTATCCGATCTAATACCCCCAGGAAGCCTCATTGCCATGCCTACAATAGCTATTGGGGTGTATGCACTAGGACGTGGGACGTTAGATACATTGCACGGGTTCACCGCTGTGCTCTCGTAGCGCTTGCTGGCTTTCATGTTGGTCGAAGTTGTGTCGTATCTATCGGTTCCAGTGTGCTGAATTACGTATATTAGAGTGTCTCTGCTTTTCAATTCAATTATGAAAACTCACGAAATGTTGTAAGTCTTCACTGGACAGTGATCTGTCAACTGGATCAGCAGCCGAATTGGAATGCATCCATGTAACGATAAAGTAAAGTTAAGACTTTGTGAAGGTATAAATGTACAGTAGGTCTACTTTTCGGGCTGACAAGGGAATCCTCCAATTGCGGAATTGCCCGCTTTCCTGCGAGAGTGTGTTTGCGTGGAAAATCCTCTACCTGTATTGTGTATGGGTGTGCTGCAGGGATGGAACGGCCCCAGGCCAAGAAAAAACATATTGATTTCTCGAGTCTACACAGTGGGGTGAAGTTCATACAGGGTACGACGTTACCGATAGTTAATTGGATAGGTAATATTGATTTTCCAACAGTTATCTCACTGAATATCCCTTGCATTGCCGAGCCAAGGAAATACTGCAGCGAGAGCCTTCTCTTCCAATCCCCCTTGTTTAGGCAAAAAGGCATTCCGCTGTCACATATTTCCCCAAGCAGAGGCAACCCTTACTCGATTTCGTATGTCCTGTGGTTCACGAACCCCCAGTGTTTACCCATAGGTGGATCATACATTCATAACCATATATGCCGTCCTCGATGCTATCAAATCGACTCAGTACTATTACTAAATTGCACATCCCGGAGGGTAGGACAACGTCCGAATCATGGTTTTGACTACTGGATGCTTGTTAAGATCAGTAGACTGGTTCCAACTGGCCTTTCTAGCTTTTCCGCCGCTGCTACTTTACTATGGGTCCTCGCATGTGCATTACCAGTCTAAGACTTTGATCTGGCAAGTTTTGCTGCAATTCCTTGGCGGTGTTTCTATTACTGCGGGTATTAACCGACTGCGTGCGCCGTGTGAATCTGTTGACTTGCGCTAACAGCCTCTCGGGCAGGGTATCATCGTCTATGGTCCCATAGGTCATATCAAGCAAGCCGCCCGTTAAAATATTTCCTCGCGGCCTTTGGGGCCAGTACCTGCCAATGGTCTATTATGTGGTGGGTGCGACACCATCGAGCGCATCATCGGTATGTCGACACCGACCGAGACCCATACAATGCTAAGAGAGGACTCTTTTATTCGCACGTCGGATGGCTTCTCATGAGAAATGGTGAACAAACTTGGGGCAAGGTTGACCTGTCCGACTTAAAAGAAGACCCCATAGTCGTGTGGCAACAACGGTATTATGTCGCTATCGCAGCCATTACAGGGTTGATCCTACCAGTGTCCGTCGCCCACTTTGGCTGGGACGACCTTCGAGGCGGATTAGTGTACGCGACTTGCTTCCGACTCGTATGGACCTGGCATGTCACCTTCTGTATCAACTCACTTGCCCACTGGGCGGGTACTCAGCCGTTTTCGACAAGATCCTCTGCACGCAATAATTGGCTCCTCGGCTTCGTTTCTCTCGGAGAAGGGTGGCATAACTTTCACCATGCATTCCCTTACGACTACAGGAATGGGGTCCATTGGTACCAAGCTGATATTACGAAATGGTGCATCTGGATCTGGGAGAAGTTAGGATTAGCGAAAAATCTCAAGAGGATTCATTCGCGTCCGAAGGTTGTGGGTATTTAGCTGTTATAAAGAAAATTGACAGGTTATTATTACAGATTAAGTCATGGATTGTGCGATAGCAACCCTTTCTGGCAATTGACAATGTGAATCGTATACATACATATGGAGAAGCTCATGAGAGTAAAACCTGAAGATTTCAGCCCGTTTCATTCTAAATGGACTTCGGATGGTAAGTATGCCACTACATGGTCTTTCGCGCAACATATATATGAACTTTGATGTTCTAACCCTTGTCATGCATCTAAACGAAACGTTGCCATTTTGGCCCACGTAGGAGAGGATGCCGACATGTACGGAGTACACGAATATCAGTGACACAGAAAAGCTTGGCTATGGGTGGATATGGATACGTAGCTTGATGTATGATATGATATATCTCATCGTGGAGCCACTCCAAGGAGACAGCTCCTAGGCTACAAAATGATCGGCATTCCGACAGCATTGGCCTTGTTTAAATAATGGATGGGGCGAAAGAGTAAGACAGATCATATGCGCGAGCAAACCAGTACTAGAGATTATCCTGCAAGGGATGCATTTTTCGAAACCTAGTACATCATCTAAGCTATCATAAAGCTCCAAGTTAGAGACGTAATTAGGATTCAGTCGAGCAAGCACATCAGCACATTGAGTAATGGTGCTTCACTATCACTATGGTAGTATTCTCGATTATCCTCAGCCTCCTACTTCTCATTGCAGGTTGGCTCACGGCGATCTGTTTCACACCACCCCAGCCGGACCGTTTTCAGCGTCACATTCAAAACGATCGTATCGGCTTTCTTTCCACAATTTCTATATGGGTATTCCACCGCTATGCCATAATGACTGTTGCATTTTGGCATGTCTTTCTCGCCCTCCATATGTCGTTGATATCGAAGGAAAGTCAATTGACGACACCTTTATGCCCTGGTGCCTCGCATGTCAACACATGTTTGTTCACGTGGAGTCATCTTACTTTCCCCTTGTTAGCCTTAATCCTTCTAGTCGGGGGTCCCATTCGTCTCGCTGCCTTCAAACACTTGGGAGAGAACTTTACCTTTCATATAACTACCCCGGACCGACTCGTCACTCAGGGGATTTACCACTACATGCAACATCCATCATATGTCGGACAGTTAATATTAGTCGCCGCGTGCAGTCGCTTGTTCTGGAGCTGGGATGGCTCCCTTGGTTGCTTCATGACCACATCTTTCGCCGAGAACATGAGAGGCGCGGAGTGGATATTCTCTTTCGGACTAACGGCTATTTTTCTACTTGCATTTGGAGTACGCATACGAGATGAGGAACACATGCTGGAAGAGAGGTTTGGGGAGAAGTGGATAGCTTGGAATCGAAAAACAAAGCGATTCATTCCAGGGATTATCTAGATTAAATAAACGCCTTGTGTCATATGCGTTTCGGTGATTTTAGGCTGTAACTCAGCAAAGTTGTCTTACAGTAGAATATTGCATTCTATCATTTTGTTCTTCCCTTCCCGGTATACTTCCCACGATTCAGGCCTCCTTCCTTGCGGATTAATTATCCATCTACTCTGTAGATGTTTTTCTTTACCACAAGCTGTCAGGAACGCGATGTCTCGACATATTTAACCCTGAGAAGCCTTCAACAACGCATCATAAGCATGTTCAAAGTTCTGAAACCCTTCTGCCGCTTTCTCCTGGTCAACTGTAGCCATTCTGGCCCAGACGAGCGTTTGTAACGCTCTATCCTGTTGGTGAAAGTCCTGTACCAGCTTTTGAGCCACCGATCCATACCCGGCTGCTCTAACCAGTGGTATCTGCCCAAGAAACCAACTTTTAGAACCACGGTTTTCGCTAATCACACATGATAGAAGACGTACCTTAGTCCTCCCGATATTCAAAAGATCTACTAGATGGCCGTGGAGATCGACCGTGCGGTTGGCAACCGCAGCGCTGTCCGCGGCAGTAAAGCTCTCCCTGCTTTGTACGTCACTGACAAACTTCTTTGTCTGTCGTCTAGTGGAGTACAGGGTGTACGCAAGTGCCGGAGTATCAGTGGCTGCACCATTGTATTCTTTCAAAGCCTTAGTGGAGGATGCGATCATAGTCTCTAAGGTTCCAATACTCTCCAGCATCTCGGCACTTGGTCCCGGCTCCTCCGCATTGAAGGGGCCAGCGAAAAAGAAAAGGGCAGGGAACAGAATATGTCCGAAACGCATGTTATCGGTGCCGGGGTTTTGAAAAAGAAAATGGTCCGTAAATATATATAATTGTGTCCGTTGATACAGATATGCTAAAGAAAAGGTGACAGATTACAGAAGAAAAGAAGAAAGGAACATCCTGGTAGCCGGATGGTTTGTTACATACATGATTTGCTAGATAATGTATGGAAATTTACTACTAACTTAAAAGTCTTATAGTGCATTTTGCTTTGCCATTTCTGTTTTAGCTTTTCTTCATAGCTCTGATTGTGACTTGGCTCGCTGATTTCCTTGCATCCCTACTTTTCACTAGTCTTCCTCAGGGCCCACGATGGGCCCCCAATGGGCGCCCCCCCAAAGCCCATTTTTGCATAAATATTGATCTTGGCATTCATAAAGGTGCTTACTAAGTAGGATAAATCACGTTTTTTTACATAAAGCCCTATGTTTGCAATGTTTGGGGCCCAATTGGGGGCCCACAGGCCCAAAGCCCAACCCACCGTGGGCCTGGGCCTGGGCCGGGATGGGCCGTGAAAAGCCTACTTTTCACCCCTGCTTGGGTGCCGATCTAATGACTCGTCTATCTACTTGGCCATTCTTCTCTGCATTCCGACCTGAAACCACTGTTGTCACGTCATTCCATTCATTCGAACAATGTATGCAAAAATGCTTGGCTGGTAGGAATACGGATGGTATGGTGATCATTGTATTTGCCTCGGAGGAACTTTGTAATGACTAACTACAGCGGCCGAGAGCCATCAGCAACGCAGAATGAGAGTAAACAAACAACAAACGTAGAAAGCCATGACATTGGCTGTTGCTTCGTGTACTTGTAACTGTTTTCGAGTGAACTATCCTACGGACCGTTGCTCACAAGACCAGGGAAAACATAAAAGGACAAGCGATCAGAATGTGTCAACGTATATCTGAGAAACTATAATGCTATCTTCGATATTTTACTATCCCACTAATAACAGACCTTATAGGGATAGACACATGATGCTTTCATTCATAACATATTTATTGACCTTGGTGATTAATCAGAGGCGATATGCACTTGGCCTTTCTATATCAAGGTTAAACAGGGTCATATATACATAAGCACCCCCTGCTGCCATAGTTTGTATGTAATGTTGACCCTAATATCTAAGGGCTCTTCCTTGGCACCGTACACTGTGCACAGTCGTATGTGCCAGCGATACCGAAAGCAGGTAGCAAGCCGCGCCGGCATACATTACCAAACCCAACATGCAGAAAGGGTTCGTGAGGTTCAATTGCCACAGGTCTCTGTTAGGCTTGCACATGCCCTTCTTGACACTCCACTAATTTAACTGCTAAAGACAGACGACTCTTTTAGTTTTATCTAGATCTAGACGGAGGCTACATAACACCCATTGTCTTTTAATTTTGTCAATATATATACCCTTTGAGCGTTAGTGATTCTAATAAAAAACATAGTTGGACTCCATGTTATCGGGTATGATATTAGCCATATAAAGTGCTCTCCCAATATGCTCAACTAGCATGAAATATAATTGTGTACATTATATTAAAAATGTCTGATATATGGTTGTTGCGATACTAACATTCTAAAACGGCCCTGTTCATATGGAACACAAAGGTGCTACTCATTTGCGTGGCCCGCTCGTTTACCAGTGAAGTTATGCCGCCTCGGTGGTTGAGTTAAAGTAGAAATCACTTGGTTGAGTTTAGAATATCTAAAGAGACTAATATACTACTTTAGTAGGCGGTAAAACGTCATAGGTAGCTGCAGAGTGAGACAGTGTGTGGCGTCGCTGTATATTTAACGTACGTAGAGTACCTATAGACACACCCCTTCGAGTCAAGGTTGACCACAATACGACTGGCAAGCAGCTCTCTTCGCAGTTTTCCACCACTCCTGAAAGCTTATTTATTTCATGCTTCTTGTTTATCTGTCAGAGAATTTCTAGATTCCCGTGAAGATACGTGGCGCGGACTTCCAACGGTGCCCACCTCGTCGAGCAAAATCTAGAGCGGCCAAGGAAACACAGCACCAATGTCACTCTGAGGCTAAGAATTTCGCAAATATACTCTCACAGACCCTGCCTAGGACCATTAACCCCTTCGAAAATCTGATACAAATAATCATGGGACCGATTTGATCCCCAACAAGGAGACGTCAGTCTTATACGCAGCGTGAGCAATGACGAAAACACCGTGAACCGCCGCGTCGGTGGTACACCTCCACGACATCAGCGAGAGGGAACAGGCGTACCGCGACGTGCAGCTGGTCGCTACCCACCTGCGTGAGATATCGATGATGATCATCTTGGCCAAGGCGCCTTGGGGTTCACATCTAGCAGTCGACTGCCAATAAGTACTTTTCCACTGCATTTTGCTCCACGTTTATTCATTCCCAAGCGTAGGTGTAAGGCTGCAACAGCTGTTAAGAGTGAGAAAAGTATCGCAGCAGCGTCCTCGAAAGTTGTGCTTGTTGGTATCTTAGCGGTGGTAGCTTCTCTGCTTACGACGAATTTCTGCTAGCCTCCGTACTTAGATTATTTGACCTCGTAAATAGGTGTATCGGACACGACGCGGTCTCCTTTCTGGAATCTGGTGACTAACAGGCCGACTTCATGGACAGTGCCGGTAACCCCATTACCTAAGATGAATGGGTAACTAAGGCACATCGATGTACGCTCGGGCGCGGACATTGGTATCGAAGGGTTGTATTGCGACGGCGTGATTCTATTACACCTGTTACTGAAATGACTTTAAAAGTAGGGTTCTACTCAAGTAGCCATTGTTACCTTTATCACTATTCCATCCTCTAAAGGCTGTTATAGGCCGCACTGAATCGCTTTAGGTCACCCTTTGGCTCCAGTCTCCAAGCGGCTTCGTTCACAGGTGACATAGTGCCTTGCTAACTAAAATCACGCGCTATAAACCCAGAGAGTTAGGAGTAAAATTGAATACTGGATGTTTTATTTTCTTTGACTTTCTGCTAATAGATGTATATCTCCAGGGTACGAGGTCCCATGACATCAGGAGTTTCAGCGAAAAGGAACCATCGCCCCCACAAGAGCTTTCCAAAGCATTGGCTTGTGTTTGCGATCAACCAATGAATTTACAGTGGCCCTTATTGATTATAACCAAAAGCGACTTACTATGTTCCAGCCCATTAGTTGTTATATGCCTTTGAATTTTTTTAACATTTTTAATACAATTCTCGCTGTAATGTCGCTCTCTACAAACCTACGACAAAGCTTAGAGGATAACTTCAGGATTATTCAGAAATAATGTATGGTCGTTTCAAAATAAAAGCGGCGAGCTATGGCTCTCTTCCAGTGCACTATAACACCTTTGAAACCAATCTGCCGTTATGTGTCTCCAAAAGGCCCTTTGAAACCTTTCACAAAGGGCAGTTGAACTGTCGAGTCTACCTCTTGAGTCGAGATAGGGCCTCTATCGTTCTCTATGCCTACAATTGATACACAAGGCAGAGCTGAAGGAAACTAGTAAAAAAGCTAGTTCTAGACAACGGAATTACCTAATGCTAATTTTCGCCACATGCTACCCACCGGTACCCCATTCGTGATGACAACATCCCCACCTCAAGCTTAAAGAACAAGATAGTCACGCTAACATTTGCGAGGGTGGTCTTCTCTGTCTTTCTCCAATGTCCTATCGTATAGCTGCTTACAATCCAGAAACACCTTAGCATGGAGAGAGTTGCAGTCGCAGACGCCAGAGAATTCGTCCTCTGTTTTGATGGCACAGGATATAAATTCCGAGGAGATGAAGCAGGTAGTAATGTCCTCAAGATTTACAGAGTAAGTCCGTGTGGTAGGAACTGTTTTCTTGGGGCAATCCTTACACGAATAGAAGATGCTTGATCGCAATGACGCACATCACCTCCATTATTATCAGCCGGGATTTGGGACATTTACCACCTCTATTTGGCAGTCCCATGATACCAAGCAGAATCGGATCAAGAGATGGTTTTCAAATACAAAAGACGCGGCAGTGTGCACGACATTTGATGAACACGTCATGGATGGCTATAGGTTCCTCATGCGCTTTTACTGCCCCGGCGATGGGATTTACATCTTTGGTTTCAGCCGTGGAGCATATGTGGCGCGTATGCTTGCTGAAATGCTGGATCATATCGGCCTGTTAGAGGCAGGGAAAGAAGGGAAGGTCCGCTATGTTTGGTCAATATTCTCCAAGTGGGCGAAATGTGTCAACATTGCGGACACCGACAGAAAATAAAAAGACGATTTATATACGTACATGAAAGCCCTAAGGGAGACTTTCTGTCGCCCAGTATCGCAGATCCAATTTCTTGGATTATTTGACACCGTCAACAGCATACTGCGATTCGAACTGAGTCGTAATAAGCTTCTGTTTCCTTTCACAACAAAAACTTCAGCCAAAGTAATTCGGCATGCTGTCGCTATCGACGAGCATCGTGCTAAGTTTCGGCAGGATTTACTTTCAGATGTCAATCCAAACACACGGTTAGCGCGGCGCAAATGGCAGGGCCACCGGGAGCGACAAGGGCATCTTCAGCAAGGACGTTGTACAGGAGAGGCATTCTATCGGCCAGCCCCTCGTGTCCGTCCACAAACTGTCAACTCTGGTAACCAGCGAAGAGATACAAAGACCCAAAAGCCGATTGGAGCGCCATACGATGCGGGTGATTGCCCTTTCACGGAGAACGAGGATACAACCCAGGACATCGAGGAGGTGTGGTTTGCCGGATGCCATGCTGGTATTGGCGGTGGATTAACCTTGGATAAAGAAGAAGACCTGGCGCTGAGTCATGTGCCATTAGTAGGGATGGTACAGGAGACGCAGCGTGCGGGACTCCGATTTAATCCTGAAAACATGAAGCTATTCCACTGCTTTGATGATTCGGCTGGCAATGGTCGTCTCTCAGGCAATCTAGAGCACAGCACCGATGGACAAGAGGCAGGCGACGAATGCGATATTAAAACCTCCCTTTGGAAAGCCACTATAAATGGACATGTACATGACTTCTTACGGTACGGCCAAGGAGTCCCATGGCCCACTGTTTTAGCATGGAAAATAGTGGAGTACCTTCCGTTTCGAAGGATGGCGTTGCAAAGTGATGGATATTGGAAACCGATTCGATGGCCTCTTCCCCTTGGGGAGAGACGTGATCTCCCTAAGGGGGCTAAGGTCCACAGATCAGTCATTCGCCGCATGGAGGCCAATGCAAAGTATAGACCGGAGAATTTGCTGAAATATGGAAAAGGGAAGGACAAGAGTCCCTTAGAGGATGGTATTGGTGCGTGGGAGGTGCACACTCATCGAGGCTGTCTAGTGCGAGAAACATACCACAGGAAGTTGTACGAAACCATTTAAACTAAACTATGTGGCCTGCTATTCGCAACAACACGTGGGTCATACACTCTCCTGGAGTGGACAAACTACAAGAAGCGCAGGGCAAGGCGAGAAAAAAGGGGAAGAAAAAAAGAAATAGCAAAACGAACATTGCCCGCCATACAGATCATGCTTGGGAATCAAGTTAATTATACCGATGTGCCCATATTCCGGATTGCACTGGCCTTGATAGCATGGATCACACACCTTTCGACGAAGACCGACCCTTGACTATCACACTGCACTTGCTTGCGCAAGTATGCGTATACTTTCACAAGATCAAGAGCGCCTTCTTGAAGCCGCCCATGGTGATGGATGTGTTCCCAAGTAGCACCCAAGTTCAAAAGTCGCTCCCCAGTATTCGGGTCAGTCGTGATGCGGTGTGTAGGTCGCTTGTTATGGTCACCGGGCGCCACTGAATCTGCGAATGTTGTGTACGTCAGAATAGACGTACAATCGTGATGACACCCGACCGGCGTCAGCTCCAGTTCCTTAAGAGTATGGTTTTCCACCAGAGCTGTGCAGATCTCTTGACGCTTTCTATCATTTTCTTCACGGAGAGTTGATATAGTTTCTGTAGCTGAGTGAGCCGTTCGTTGTGATCCCTGATGTGGCGCTCCTGACGTTCGCGAAAAGCGCGTTGACTTTATGAATTTGAGAGTTTGCTGGTCAGTCCTACCTCAGCTCTCTACAGCGGCTTCCATCCGGAAATCGTATCACCTACGCAGCTTTATTTTGTGCCTTCCGCTTGTCGCTGGGTGAAGTCGAGGGTACGGCATCTACCCCCCCCCCCCCCCCAGTTTCTTCTTCCACACTCGAGGGCTTATCAACATTTCCGAAGTGCCATCTGTATTGAGTCCTGTAGCTGAAATTCCAGAGGAAAACCGATCGTTGCCCTGACTTTGTAGAGGTACAGAAGGGGTCTGGGAGTCTCCACATTGGACGCGTGTTTTATCGGTTGGGGCTAAATATGTATTATTGTCATTCATTTGGGTGACCACTTGAGCAGGCAGGAAGGCGGCTAAGTCATGATGGAATGGTTTCCATTATCGAAACCAACCCCACTCATGAGCCGCTATCACTTTACAGCTCTGATCCAAGACGCTTACGAGCATCATCCAATGATCATTCGCCTCATATTCAAATTTCCTTTATCATAGCCTGAGTTCCTAAGACGACAATGCAGCACGGTTATGTGTCCTCTCTAATTTTGTCCGTCACAACTCGTATCCTTTGTCAAGGAATGTGGGGGCCAATACTTGCCAATAAACCTGGTCAAGAGAGCGATGTCACTCTGATTCCTTGGCACTGAAACATGTGGAGAACGTGACAATAACACTCTGCATTATGGTAACCTGATGTTGTTGAAAGATATGAGTTATATCCCATTAATTGAGATAACAAGGTGTATACTAATGTTGACCCTGTTTAATTTCCTCACAAAGAGGGTAGTGGTAGAACAAGGTCAACAAAGCCTCTACGTGAGGGTAATCCTGGCTAGCCCTTCCTCTTGGCTAATTCGATATCCTGGTTGGTAAAGTCGGATATACCCACCTTTTGTACAACTAGGGCATCCTTCGACTATAATACCACGATCCCTGTTACTCTCTACACCTTCCATTTTGAGATTCAGACCCTTGCTAAGATCCACCGCGCCATGCAGGGCTGTGCAGTAGGTGAAAATAGGCCTGATAAAATCCGATCATGGACAATGTCTCTATTTTGGGTGTAAACAGGGTAGATAAAATCTGGGACAAGGCTTTCTCGTCGCATCCATCGTACAGTCCACTGCAATGCCTCGTCTACTCTTGAAATTAATTCTATGTCTCGCTTTTATATCCTGGACGATTTGGTATGGCAAGACATACTTCTACCGCGACCCTGGGAGCATCTTCTATGATGAAGTCCACGCCTTTGAACAGCGATATTCCCTGCATCGCCGCAGTGAAGTTGACGCTTTCATACGGCTCCAAAATACAACACTAACGACAGAGCCACCCATCAAATCCGGCCCTAATCCCACTCTCTGCCTAGCCTTTAGCTCTGTCCGCCGCCAAACAAGTAACTATCTAGAAGTCCGTTGGTTCTCATTTTCCAACCCTACAAACCCGAAATTAAAAGCTAACCACCAAAGCAAACCCCAAAAAGACCTCAATAGCGAGCGCCCTCGCAACCCTGACCTCCCAAGAGCGGCAAGACCTCCACGTGGCTATCCACATCGCCGAACCAAACCCATTCAGCCACCCAAACTGGAATACCACCTGGCTTCGCACGATTGCCGACACGTTCACCACCTACAACGCCAGCATAGCCGAGCTATCCCACCTCTCTCACCTCCAATTAACATCCAACTACGCCGAAAAGGGTATCATCGACTATACCCAGGCCCTGCAACTCTGTCACACAACCGGCGCCCCCTACATTGCCCTCTTTGAAGACGACATCCTCCTCGCAAACACATGGTTCATCCGCACCCTGCTCGGCCTCTCCCAAATCCCCCCCTCAAAAGCCAATTCATGGCTTTTCATGCGTCTCTTCAACCAAGAACGCTCAACGGGATGGGCGAGCCGAGCCATCGGCGGAAACAATGAGCACTGGATTATTCTCGCCATCGCGGTTTCCATTTCGCTAGTGGGGTATCTGGCTCGGCGCCAGAGTAGGATTGCCCGGTCGTGGGTCGATTGGGGCACGCTGGGGGTAGTGGTGCTCGTGCTTAATCCGGCGATGGTGGTGCTGTTTTTCCAGGCGGGCAAGGCGTCGGTTTTGCCCCCTTCACCTGGGGTTTTTGAGGAGCCATTTGGGTGTTGTTCGCAGGCGATGGTGTTTCCGAGGGAGAGAGTAGCGGATATTGTGCGCTTTTTGCGGAGCAGGGGCAGTGGACAGGTGGATTTGTTGTTGAATAGGATGGCTGTTGAAATGGAATGGGGGAGGTGGGCGTTATATCCGATCATGGCGCAGCATATTGGTATGTCCCTCTTTTCTGTCTTCGGCTTTTCATTTCTTCGGAGTGTGGTTTGGCTGATTGAGGAGCAGGTCTTGAGTCGGCTAGGAAGACCTCGAAGACTGAGGCGCAAGCGGTCTGGAGTATGGCGTTTGAGGATTTAGATCCGGTGGTGTTGGAGAGGGAGCATTCGAGGTTTGTTGACGACTATTATTGGCGGTAGATCGTGTAGATTCATTAAATAGTTTGCGCATTAACATAGAGTAGGAAGTGATGTTGGAGGTATCACAGGAAGCTACTATAATTAAGTCAATACTGTTACCACAGAGTAGTATGTCAACGTCTTATAAAAGTCGTATGGTTGAGTTACGTGTTGTTATATATGGTTGTGTAGAACGTGACCTGAAAGAAAACATGGTTTAATCCTCTTGTTATGCCAGCAAACAGAATATCAGTAACATTTTCTAGATGACTTCATCTTGCCCTAACTTTCTAGCCAACATAGCTAGTGGCCACTTCAGCTCTTAGGGGGTGGCCTTCGTACCATGCATTTCCCCTATAGAGTATAGTGCATCTGTGCAATCTCAAAAATATATTTCTTCAACCTGCCAGTCTTGGTTTAACGTCGATGGTTTCAGGGTGGGGAATGTCGGAGTAGATAAATGGGTGTTTAGTATCAAAGGGCGGCAGGCGCATATAGTCGGTCCTATAGATATACCAACACATCTGATTTAAATTTGCTATCATATGTACCGGGCAAACCCCCAATCACTTCAGGTCAGCCTGGGTTTATGCATTTCCTTCCTGCCTCAAACCTTTAGCGCAGTATCTCTCGGCACTCGGATTCAGAATCCGCCCCCAGAGCAGTAAGACAAAATTCTTGGCTGAAGGATGGAGACATAGTGGGTCTACCGTAACAAAATCGCACTGAGCAGGCAATATCTGCGCTCTGCGACCCAGCAAATCTCGCTAAAAGCTGACACAGGAACTTTTCACAGGGAATATTATCAAAAACAATGACGATATTGGCTACACTCCGCAGGATGAATATGCCATTAGTGCGAACAACAATAACTAATTATGTAACGATGAAAAATGGCCCCCTGGCAGTTTGCACAGATTTACCCACGGCGGATAAGCAACCATGCCTAACTTGGAAGCTTGTCCGACAATCTTTAGTAGCTGAGAGAGACCCATTTATATCAAGGCCTGAATTCTAGATATGTCTCACCTAGTCCTGTAACTGGGGCTTTCTTTCTAACTCTTCATCGTCTAGGTTGTTGGTTTTGTTGATTTTGAACTGACTAATTGGTTAATGTACAGCTAGCCCTCCATAGCAATATAACCAAGCATTGGGCGTGCTGGACAGAAAGCTATAAAGCCGTGCGAGTGTCTAGAAAATGTTGATTCTCATGCTTAATCGTCTCAATCCTCTGAGATACCTAGACCCGCGATAATGAAAGCCTTCAATTACATCTGGTTCTTGGCCGCCGGCCTTCTGGCTCGGGTTCGTTTCATATTCTGTCCATCATATCTATCATCCTCCCCCAGTCTCTTCTAACCAATTACCAGGCCCAACCCGACGAATCCCCACTCGAGGGATATACCATTGAGGAATTCTCGTGGGAAGTCGAGACAACGCCCGGCGGCTCAACCGTCGTCCTGAACGGCACAGTCGAGCAAGTCCTCTCTCAGCTGCGCGACATCAACCCCAACTACGACGCCGAGTTTGCCATCCCTGCCGATGAAGTTGAACAGCCTGTGGAGGAAGAAGACGCTTCCTCGCACCTGACGAAGCGCGGCGACGTTAAATGCGGAGGCTATCCGAAGGCTAGACGGGTCCACATTGAACAGGGCATCAAGTACTTGAGGGGTGTTCCTGGCAAGCCCCAAAGAGGACCCGGCCCCGGCAGCTGCGGCCAGGTCAGCTGCTCTTGGTCTTCAGCTATTTGGTGGTGTAATGATGTAAGTGTCTTAAAGAAATCTGCTTTCCTTCTATCCTGGTGTGATACATATTGACGGGAATCAAAGAACACTTTCACCAAGGTGCTACCCAGCTTCAACAATATTGCGGACGGGGCGCAACTTATTAAGAATACTTGTCTTCATGGTGGCCAGATGTTTTCGGGCCAAGATTCCCATAATGATAAGTGGAGTACTATCGTTCGTTGGCACAAGTGTTAGTTAGCGGAGAGTGTGTGCGCTGGTGGGTTTTCTAACCCAGAAGGGGTGAAGCAAGATAGTGCATTGGAATTGGGGCGCGGCCCAGTTAGCAGGCGGGCAGGATTAGAATCAACGTACATTAGAATTAAAGTTTCTAATAGACTGGCATTTGGCCAGGTTAGGTTAGGTTAATAGGGTCAGTTATACCTAACCGCTAGGTTATGGCTAGGTTATATATATATTTTATACCTAATGTGGTTAACCTACGGTTAACCTAGTTCTGCCTGAGGTGTCAAACTAAACCTATTTAGAAAGGCGGTCGGCTAGGACTATCAAGATAACAACGACAGAAAATAACCCTAACATACCGCCTACTAAAATAGGTTTAGTTTAGTACCTTATTGCCTTATCAGGCAGAACTAGGTTAACCACAGTTAACCTAACCCAGAAGGGGTGAAAACTTCAACGTCGGTGTTCTGATAGTAGGGCATTCTATTTATAATAAATTAATTAGAGTTTTCTACCCAGCGATATCTAGATTCTTATATTTTAATTAAAGACTATAACTATCTTTACTAAATAGAATTATATAAAACTAATACTATTTAGAATATAGGATATAAACTAGCTTTAGCTTACTTTAAAATTATAAAATCTCATCCGGTGTAATATGGCCGCTTTGTGGTTATTCCTTCCTAATTAGGTGTGGGTCCTGCCCCATCTAGTTACCGTGGTTCCAACTGTGGGACTTATTGCGAATTATAGTAAAGAGAATTACTTCTTTAGGAAATATGCTCTTGCTGCTTTATAGTATTGCAGCTATTGCTGCTTGTATTATTATATAGCTATAATTACTTTAACTCGTTACTCCACTAAAGACTGGAGCGGTAAAAACTCTGTTAAGTCTAGACTCTGCATTGCAAAGTGCCACTATATAATAGTATATATATAGTATGTACATTCTTTCTATATGTAATATGCAATGTCTGGACTCTGGTATACTGTATACTTCTCTTATCGACTCGAAGCAAATGCTATGTAATGAAGAACAGCTAATCTTTATTACTATAGTCTATGTATAGCCCACGGACTGTATCCTCATAAAATTAGATTATAATATAAATAGAGTTGTGGTCAACCGTTAACATGAACAAAATTTTTCTACTTATACTGCAGGTTACTCACCCTACTTTGTCTGTTAAATATCACAATATCTAAGCTTCCCAACCAGTGGCAACCCCTTCTTACCAGCGGCCAGTCTACAACCAATACGCGACCTTCAAGCAACCTCTTAGTAGTATATTATACTTCTAAGAATGAATAATATTCGGTTCTATAAACCCCCCAGTGCCCCCAAGTCCCCCAAGTCTTCCAAACCTTATCCACCCCATAGCAAAGCTACGTTACCATCAACTCAAGAAACAAGAAAGATAGAACAGCCAGCTCCTGAACCTGCACTACCCGGGATACAATCTCTGAATCATCCCCTTCCAAAGAAACCACTAGTCTTATTTCCTGGTGAGAGTCTAGCGTCGTCCCTGGAAGGAGTTTCCAACTCCGGTATCGCTAAAGTCGTATATAATCCATTATCTGCGAATATGAAAACACCCCCCTCAATAACAAGGGCTTTAGTTGATAGCCTTTGCAGAGAGAAACCTGAGTCCTATCAATATCCAAACCTGTAGGTATCTACCAGCTACCAGCTGTTCAGTTTCCTTTCTGCCCCGGAGCATCTATCTGCAAATCAAGTGTCCTCTATACCATGCCCGAGTCTGGGTAAGGGTGTAGAGGAAAGCGATAGCCCCTGCAATGTAAAGTCACAATCGCGCAGGCTAAGTAAAACTGAGGATTTACCTAGTATTCATCCTCATTGTATGCTATCGCATAGCGGATCGGACAGATCCTCTTTACAGAAGTATATCGTGAATAACTACCAAGACAGTAAGCTATATATTATAATACAGCCTTTTAGACTCTATGGATGTGGCTTAACAAGTTAACATATCTCAGGCCAAGCAAGAGATCATCAGTCCTCTATAGAGGTAGAATCGACACTTACCAAGTCTACTACTCTGTCCTGCATCCCAGGAGATCAATATCCACCCCGAGAGAAGCAAGCTAGGAGCTATTATAATTACGATTCAAAACACACATTACTCAACCGGAACAACCAGACACAGCCTTATATAAGAACTGGTAGGTATAAGGTACCACATATAGAAGTTATAGTACCACAGAGATCCGTATCTCCTACTTTAGATACAGAGGCGATTCTTTCCAGTGAAGATAACAATAACCTCGATGATATCGATTTCCAGCACCAATCAAATACTAGCGACGAAGAGGTTAAGCCACAAAGCTATCTTCAGCGAAAAAAACAAACTAGCGCAGGACCAGGTTCTCAGCCAAAACACCCTAGGACTAAAATACGACCCTCTACATCTTCTAAATCTGTGCAAAGACGACGTCTTCCGAAGACAGGCTTCGTTAAATCGATACCCTTTACCCATCAACCTTTGTATCAAGAGCATCAGCGACATTTTAAACACTCTTTTACCTAGGATTCCGATACCACTTTATCAGAAGAGACTTTTGACCCAGCTAAGAAACAATATTCTAAGCGAATTACAATTAGTAGATATCTAGAGCTCTCACCTAGAAGCCTAGGTAACTCATTTATAATTCGAGGTTTCTTACCTTATACAGCACAGACAAGAAGAGACAAACACACAGATATATCTAGAAGCCCAGACTTCGACGAAGTACTTACGGGGTCAAAGCCAGTTCTCGTAAAGAGTAAAGAATTGGATTACTATAAGACAGGAAAACATTTCTTAGAAGCTGAGGACGAACTTATTTTAATCTTGAAAGAAAAAAGATATTATTAGAAAGATATAGAAAGATTCTTTATACATCGGAAGCACACTGCTCTACAGAGTCGATGGACGCGATAGCTATAATATATAAGAAAATAAATAGCTAATAAAACAGATCTATTATTAGTCTATAAAAATATATTTTATAGCCAATTCAAGTATTGTAATTAGTAAATAATCTATATATATAAGAGAAACTCTCTCTCAGCCTAATATTCATTACGCGTGCTAATAGTCAGGTAAGCACGTTCAACCTAAATTTGAGTATATTTCTCTTGAAGATGGAGCGACTCCGAGCAAGTTTAATTGGTACTATAATAGCCTCTTAGAAAATAGCATTCTGGTTGTTTAAACTATATATATATATTAATAATTAATACTCTGCTAACCTTCATATGTTGATATATAAAATAAAATAATTAAATTTATATAAATTATTGGATTTGATGACAAATAAATCATGTTTTCCGTACCGATAGATTATACAAGAGCAGATAGAAAGAGGTATATATTACCCTCAAGCTCCTCTTTATCTCTGTTACTCTCAACCGCATAAGCTCTTTGTAATATATTTTACCAATTATATTATTTATTAATAATCCACCAATAACTAGAAGCTGTTCGTAACACGATCACTATCCCTTACTATTAAATTATAATATTTTTTGAAAGTTCTCCCCAGGCGTTGCCATTACGAAATATAGATAAGGACAACTACAAGCAACCCCTTGTCGATCTAATTAATTAGGTTTTAGCGGATTAGATATCTGCTCAGGCTTAAACGAATCTGCCAAAAGAGCCATCTCTTAGTATAGGTTGGCTGGTGCAACTTGAGGGGGCTATTTCGGACCCGACTGGTCGGTCTCCCGAATCGATACACTATGTCCGGATATAGATATTACCATTTTCACTCTTTGATTGGTTCAGCAACCCTAGCATGAAACTGCATTAAGTCACTCTTGGTGGTCATGCAGAAACATTTCTACTCCGCGTATATATGATAAATTACTATAGTATACTATAACAGCGCATGATAAGGTTCACGTGACTCAGTTCCCTGTTTTAACAGGTCTGAACAAATAATTTTCTTCCATCTTGGCTCTCGATCACTGCTTACTATGTAATCAATGATATAGATAGCTCCCGGTCTAGCCTAGTTAACGCTTTGTCTTCCTTATTTTAATATGAGGCTTCCCTATGCACTTAGTAGTATCTAACCCGCAGCGTTAAAAAGGACTCATATATAACGTGACTTATGCTGTAGTACTATGGCGTATTTTGAATAGGCTATATCTTTACCTCTATTGCCCTTATAAGCCCCCAGCGTTGTCGAAGAGATTCAAAGGTGGTCAGATAACTACCAGTTTGTAAGTGAATTATAGAGATTATGGCCTTCTCATCTTACGCATGTATGTATTAGCAGGTACATTAAGCATATAGTAATTCTCGAAATCGGTCTGACCTACAAACACATATCAATTGTTTATCGGCCCCACCGCCAAGAACTTAGCGTGATTATATTATAGGGGGCGAACTGCTTTAACTGAGAGCAGTTGTAATATTCCTTTGATACTGTACAGTATATTATTTAAAAAAAAAAAAAAAAAATAGAGAGAGAGACAGAGAGAGATACTTTTGATTCATATGTATAGTATTTTCACTAAACTGCCTTACTAATCTCAAAATGGGTGATATACCTTATTTCAAGGTGGCTCAAGGATAACTCCAAACAACTGATATAATAATCTACAATTAGAGGCGGCAGATTGACAGGAGTAAGAACTATCTCCAGCCTAGTGCGCTCGGCAGTGGGCTAAGGCCGGTGTCTTCTGAAAGCTCCTCACTTTTGGCCATTCAGAAGATAATAGAGTCGCTTATGCTTCACATAGTTAATTATATAAGCTTGCATAGGGCCAAAAATGGTGCACAACCACAGATCTCTATAGAAAACTATGGAACCCCACCGCCGTGATCTAACAAGACCTAAAGGAACCGCTGTTCCTGGCCCGGGCGGATAGCATCAACCTCCCTTTTAGAAATCCTGGATATCTCTGCTTTGCCACGCATCACTGTCAATAGACGTGTAGTACATCTTATATTGTCTAATATGGCAATATAAGACAACTGTGGATAGTTGCATCTACCAAATGTTCGTTCTTCGCCCGCGGCTGTTGTTTACCGGTAAATAATAGCTGCCGTGGCAGCGTAGGGTGTAAGGCGAGAGTTGACCAAATATTACTAACCGCAGAAGCTCTGCACTGCTTGGAAAAGATGAGGTTAAACTTATCCAGCCCTAATTATAATAATGGTATGTACCAAGTTATACCGTGGCAATGGAACGAGTCGCTATAGTACGCACCAACCCCCGGTAACTTCGGTTATTCGCCCTCCTCGCCTTCCCACCTTAGTCTTAACTCTAACACTCCGAATCCTGTTAAATACTCCGCTTCCCAGCTGAGCGCCTCACAAATACATAAGCTTCCGCTCCTACAATTTGGTGATTGGGTCGAGAGGCGGGCGTATGATGAGAATCTACCAACCTGTATTTACTATTGGATCGAATGGAAAGTTAAGCTCAACAATAGGATAGTGATCGAAGATACAGAACAGGATCTGGTTCTTGCCCCTAGATTCTATTGGAGGCTTTTCCTCCAGCCGAAGTTAAGAGAAAAGTTATACCGAAAATATCCCTACAAAAATATTGCATCAGATGACACATCTATTGTGGTGTCAATTCCTCGGCTCGAAAAAGTTACTCGGCAGTTCTCCAAGACTGACATTGATTGGCCCAATATAGAGAAACACCTACTTGACTAGGGTCATCACTTTCTCGCTGGTAAAAGAATAAAACTCATAATATCGTTTAATTATATAGTAGAAGACAGCCAAGGCTCCACAACTAAACGCAGAATAACTGAAAAGCGAGGTACTTCCTCTACCACTCAAGGCATACTTCAAAATCTTGACCGGGAGGTCAGCGAAGAGGAGGCAATGACTGGAGAACCTGCGGCCTGGAGACATATCTATAAGGTAATGCGCTGTCCTGGATCTTGTGAATTAGGGCCGTACTGCTGGCAGGACCCCTACAAGAAAAAACACTATAAGCTCTACAGAGATGAACTTTTGAGCCTAGTTAGATATATGAAAAGTGGAAAGAGATTAGAGTCCCATGAAGATGTACCTGGCATGATCCGTAAACAGATCTATAGGGCCGAGAGGCAGCGCCTTAAAGAGCAAAAGAATCATAATCGCCTTACATCAGAGTCAACATACCCCCCAATCATCATCACCAATGTCCTACCAGCACAGACCCCGCAGCAGGCTATATCATCATCACCACCTGCCTCGGAGAGCACATCTACTTATTCAGCGAGGGCTTCACGGCTTAATATAGCAGGCCTTCGTGATGCCAACGTTCAAGCATACTGTAACTAGCACCAATCACAAGTTGGGAATGAGTCGTGGAAAGTCGAGTTTCAAAAAGCGTGTGACGTGGCTCTAGATAATGGATTAGATCTGGACCAGATTGATAAACTGAATGACCCTGGGTATTTCAAGGATCGGGGTATAAAATAGGGTATTGCGCGCCGATTCGTCAAGGATATTAGATACTGGGCAAACAACTATAATTGTAATGTGAATGGATAAAAATCGTCTATGCTAAGACATGTGAATGATTGGTTTTGTTTTGACTCTTTCTCTGCTTTTGTATTTAATGTGATTTATATATTCAGAGTACGCTATTTATATTCTTCAATCATAACACCTGCATACCGAAAGTGGCCTTCGGCACTCTGTACTCTGGAACCAACAACACTAACACACCATTCGAGAAACGCATCAAAACCTTGACCTGGGTTTTCTTCATACTCATTCCACCTCCACTTAATGAATTGTTTCAGCTCAGCGAAGAACTCCTCAATAGGATTGAAATCCGGGGAGTAAGGGGGCAGAAATATCACTTCAACTTCCGCATCTAGGCACATCTGTTCAATTCGCTTAGTACGGTGAAAGGATGCATTGTCCATAATAATAATGGACTTTGGTTCCGGCTATTTGTTACAGTGCTGAAGAAGTTGCTCGATGAAATCCTCAAAAACGGCTGTATCAGTTGAGCCTTAAAACACTCGTAACAAGAGGACACCCTTTTAAATATAGGCGGGCAAAATTTGATAGCGTTGATCTCGGTAAAACTTAGAGATCTGGATTGGTATTACACCAAGAGGGGACCAGCTGGTCCGCCGAAAACCTGCTCTTTTATCGTAACCCAACTCATCCACGTAGACCAGCTGATATGATGAATAACGAGATAGGCGGTGCAGGTAGTAATCTCGTAGGTCTACATTTTGCTCCCTGGCGATTTGCCGAGCTGCCTTTTTCGACCATCCCACAGATGCTAGTGCTCTGCTTATGCTCTATACGGTAACATACTTTCCAAACTCATCCCACAAAAAGACTGCCACCTCATCCTGATATAGAGTCGGTTTTTCTTTCAAGTGCTCACAGAGGGCTTCAAGCATGGGCTGGGTGATACTACGCGGGCGTCCGACACCGTTCCAGGGAGCTCTGACATTTCCGAACGCCTCCAGGTTGCGACGAATGTAAATTACGGCTTGTTTGCTACAGTTAGCGGCAAACGCGATTTTAGACCTGTTCAGTGATTTACTTTGAATCATATAATGAATCATTTCAAGTTATGAGGCTTTCAGGTTTGCTGGCATCTTTACTTGACGTTAAACATGGCTCCGCGATAGAAAGCATAAGAAGCCACGTTGGGGTTTAGAGGCAACTACGTTGTCGCGGCCCGTCCATTAGTCCAACATATAGTTATGTAATATCACGTGGCATATCACGATCAACCATAAACCTCCAAGTCTCTGTCGCTGCAGGCGTCAATGTCGTCGCACAGACATCAATCATCGCTTAAGAGAATCCTGGATTTTTCAGAACCCTTCTCACTCACTCCACAACAATCTTATTCCGCGAAGAGGCTCCTTGATATATTTATCAAGGACTATGGACTCGACCAAGCAACGGAAAGGGGCTATAAGCCTGCGAAATTAATATATACTACGCTTGATCATATCATTACAAAAGACACATTCTTATCTTTTTTTTTGACATATCTTCATAAAAACTTGACTAACCTAACGTCAAACATTACGTTAGCCTTATCGTATTTCAAGGATATTATTTCTCGAGAGCCAGCGCCACGAAGCAATGTGATGAATGCTCTTGAAGCATTTACAGACTACATAGTTACGCAGTTCTTCCTTCCGCGTATATTTATCATGTCTCCTCCTTTCTATGACTCTCTAACTCAAGCGATCTAGTCAGAGCCTCGTCCATTAAGACACCGCAGCCAACACCTACCACCCTGTCCACAATACAAGCATCGACCGCCGTTGGCACCAAACAGCGCATATCATTTTTAAGACGCGACTGCCTCATCCGCGATCGCCATCGATGCGTTGTATCTCGGAAATTTGATATAACCGAAGCTAGAAGACGACTTGCTAACAACGAAAAGTGTGAAGATGACAATGGAAAGCTCCTCAAGACCGAACCACGTGATAACTTCCAATATCTGGAAGTCGCCCATATACTGCCTCATTGCCTAACAAAGGTTGCTTCTGCAGATGGGGATCTGGTATGGATATACCCTCGCGCGTCTAGGACTTCACTAACTGGGCTTAAGACCGATTCAAAGAGGAGTGTACTCCGGATTTTAGATATGTTTGACCCTGGTATCACTCACCTCATTGATAGCCCCAACATCGACAGCCCATCCAACGCTCTCACATTAACGCTTAAGAACCACCGGCTCTTTAATAAATTCCAAATATATTTTGAATCCACGGACAGACCTCATAAATATAAGATTTACTCCGTCGAGAGCGGTTTCCTAAGCGACCCTTTCTTCCCTGTCACTCGCGCCTTAACACGGAGCCCTAACGATACGATTAATCTACCATCTCCTCGGCTTCTCAGCATCCACCGTGCCATCGCACATATTTTGAAACTCAGTAGCGCGGGCGAATATATAGAGAAGATTGTTCAAGACTTGGAACAGGTAACGGTAGAAGCAGATAGGTCAACCAATTTGGGTGATATAATGAGATTACGATTTAATGGCTGGATAAGTCAATTGGCTGTTTTCTAACGAGATAAAGTCATCTGTTTTTAATTATTTCTTTCAACTTGTGAGCCACAAATGAGACCGTTTCACATTAATTCTGCAACTCGTAATGAATGATTGGAAAAAATTAATGCCATCCAGTGATTACTTGCACAAGCACATCCCGCTTCATATCGTTGCGAACTCCTGAATAATAGTATATTTCGTCTTCGATATCCTCCAGGGCGTTGCTCGATCTTCGTCCAGGGAAAAATTCGTTCGGGATTGTCGTGGATGCCTGATATATAAAAAGGCATTCGAAAACGACATCACGTTCAGTCCCACCACCCTCGAAAATAGCGAGAATACGGTATTCATCAGCCGCAATGCAGCCTTCAACAAGGTATTCATCACGGTAAGGCTATAGCTTTCTTTTAGGATCTAGCCCTATATCAGAGTACCCAAGCCTACGTGCAACCTCCTCTGCACTGTACACGCTTGCCAGTCCCTTTGTCCAAACAGCAATCACAACAATATCCCTTTCCCTCGTACTTTCCAGATATTTCCTTTGCGCCATAGCCCGCCTCCAAGTGCCAAATGAAATGAACGGTGTGTGCCATTCCGTCTCCCAAGACAGATAATTATCAAAGTCTTGCAGTGATAGCGGACCCCCGGAAGTCCTTCGTGCATGTAAGTAGCATTGGTCAGTGCTACGCGCGACGGCGCGAAATAGGACCCATGGCGTGGCGTCAGCTGGTAATGGATGGAAGAACATCTCAATCTAGGCCATTAGACGCAGTATTAGACGCAGTATTAGATTACGGCTATGGAGAGGAGTGAGAGTGGTGAGTAGTACGCTCCTTGGTCGCTAAGCGGCTCGCCGAAGAGAGTTTGCGGGTCAAATGATCTTATAATCATATGATCTCTCCATGCTCTGCCACGCTGTTACAACCGCTGTAGGTGGTAACACTGTGAATTGGATCATGCAGAGTACATAAATAGAGTATTCTAAGGATCAGAGGAAAAGTGTGTACCTTCAATGGTGTCGGGTATTTTCTTCCCACGGTAGATATAATATACGGAAGCAAAAGGCAATTCGAGCTGTTGTTAAAGAGTATAGCCCAATTGCTCTCAATTTAAATCAGCACCTGGTTAAAATCTTGAAATCTCTATTAAGCGAGAATATCTTTATCAATCCATACTCCGCACAGCGTGCCTTCCCTGAACTTTTCCCCGAAGCACAGAACAGTTAGACGGCACTGCAGACACCCACTAGAGGAACACCTCAAGATTCATTCGGTATGGAAGGACCTTCGAGGAAATTATTGGACTCCTTTAAAATATAGATCACTTACCCCGCGTTATTAATTTACCTAGGTAACGCTTAAGATACTAATAATATTCTAACCAGGCTCTACTCCAGTGGACAGTATTCTGATCTCACTATCTCCTCCAACAAGAAAGATTATCGTGTATATAGGGCCATCGTGTGCCCCCGGTCTAGCTTCTTTAGTACAGCTCTGCGCGGAGATTTTAAAATAGGTAAAATTGTCTAGATCTATCACCGCTATGTTTTAACATTCTTTCATTAGAAGGGACATGAGGGAACAATAAGCCTTCAAGAGGATAATCCTCAAATCGTTGATATCATGATTAACTACTTTTACCACCTCGATTACAATATATTCTCACAAGAAAATGGAATGGATAGTCAAGACCCTAGGTCAGAGATCTTTGAGGTACCACAGGCACATTCCTCCTTAACAATCCATGCTAAGATTTACTGCCTTGGAGGAAAGTATCTCATCAGTAGCTTTAAGGCTCTTGCACTTCAAAAGTTTAAAGCAACGGCTAGAAAGCAATAGGATGTCAATGATTTCCTTGAGGCGGCAAACCAGGCCTACACATCTACAATAGAGACTGATCGAGGATTGAAGGATGTCGTGATAGCAGTGCTTTATAACCATTCTGAGTTACTGGACCGTGAAGAAGCACAGTTTATGTTTAAGGAGTTGAATATGTTGACATATGACCTCCTGATGTATATACACGAAAAAAACAGATTCTAACTTCATATATCATACAGTTTGGAATCCCACATCCCTCGCAACAGCCCCATCTACCTATCCTATTCTAATACTGTACCTTACCGAACCTAAGCAGTTGGAATGCCCAAAAAGTATCATTTTGGCAAGTACTATTACTGTCGATACTCTGTTGCTATTCAAATACTATCACATGAAATAACTAGTTAGGTTCTGTAAGATCCAAAGTAGTGGATACAGTATAATATACAGTGTACTAAAAACAGCTCAATAACTAAAGGGCACTAAGGTCTTGGCAGTGGGGCCGACAAACAATTGATATGTGTTTGTAGGTCAGACCGATTTCGAGAATCACTGTACACAGAAAGAGGTTACAACTTGTTCAAAGCGACCTAAGATGTTGGCTACAGCTTTAAAGGATATCCCTATCGCCAAAGTCGGGCATATCGGAATTATATGGGGAGAAACTAAAATCAATCTAAGAAAGTCTCAACAGAGAGATCTTCTAAGCAACGGTATACTATTTATGGATGACTTGGTCTTGGTTAAATTTAGCCCTGCGCCACTTTTTCCAATGACACCTAAAGTGCAGGCGAGATGATAATAATAATTGGCTCACTAAAAACAGTCAAAGACACTGTACTGCAAAGGGGCTTTTCTCTATCAGATTAGCAGGGAGGTTTCAACATTTATGGAAAAGCCAAGGCCAGGGTAAGCCTAGGCTATGATAGGGCTGCGATATGATTCTTATATAGCGTAGGCCAGTGTAAGCCTAGGCTATGATAAATTTTTATATAGCGTAAGCCAGTGTAAGCCTAGGCCAGGGTAAGTCTAGGCTGCGATAGGCTGTGAATCGCGATAGATTCTAGGTTTAGCCTACGCTATACAAGAAACTGGCTAGATATAAAGGAGGATTCTTGAACTATACGCACGGTTGGATTGATAGATTTAAACTTAAGTAAGATTATACTATGTATTAGACTATTAGTTTAATTAGCCCGCTTTTATTGATTCTACTCTAGAGGTACGGACTGTGCGGTCACTGAAGAAAGTGGCCATTTTATCCTAGGTAATCTGCCTTGGTTTTGGATAGTAAGACTTCTGAGCTATATTAGACTAGTCTTTTATTGTGGTCCTTAATTTAAACTATACCAACTGTAATTGGGAAGGAAGCCAGCTATTGGTTGAATTAAAAAAGGTAATCTAACTGTTATGTCTGGACCTGATTAATTAGAAGATATCCGCGTCGCACTCCACGCAGTATTTAAATACCTTTAGAAATAGATTGGTTATCTGCTGGCTTCGTTGTTGCTGCTTTGACCTTTGGGTATTTAATTGCTGGCGGTGGATTTGCCTTTTCTTTATTGCTATTATAAGTAGAGTACAAGATAATATATAGATGTTATATCTTTAATACTGTAGAAGAAGGTGTAGATTTTTAAATAGATAATTCTTTTCTAAAATGGCGTTTTATATAAGGCAGGTGGGGGGATTATATGGTAGACTTCATTTACCGAGTTATATATGAAAGGATCATTTACTCTCAAAGGGCTTGCAAAATAATTAATTTTTAATTTCTTTATAATACTTCTCTTCTCGTACAGTAGTACCTAAGATATTCTACTCGAGAATAAGAGATATGCTCCAGTACTTAAATAAAGTACTTTTCTATATCTTATTAATTTTATACAACAATCTAATTAGCTATTAGGTAAGGGAATTATATCTATATATTAAGATATATTTAATTATTTAGACCCTCCTCGAACCTATTGAAGTGAGGGTATGGACCTTCCCTGATTGTAAAGGGATGCTGTCTTTTACTATTATCGATACTATGAATCTAGTTGAAAATATATTAACGTACTATCGGTCTCTAAGCTTTGAACTTAAACGACCACTTAGAGGATAAGAATAACTTGATTTGTTAATTACGCTTGATCTTAATAATTTCTTTCCTAGACAGAAGAGTAATTTGTTATGTACTAAATTTCTCGAGAGTTATACCGCTTCTAATAGTACTATGGATTGTTATAATACGGATATATTTATATGCCATAGACTTTGGCTCAATCCAGGTTTATAGATACTCTATGGGATTTGCCGGGTCACAGTTGAACGGGGCTCAAAAATATACTCTGTATATGTTGAATGGGGTTCAAAATTTCTGGGATTCTGCCACCGCCTCTTGAACCCTGTTCAACTGTGTGCCCCCCGGATTTTGCAGTGATCTACAAATTATATTTCTTATATAATCACAATTTATGTCAAGGGCCTATTCATTGTGGGACTAACTTAGCGGCCGGAAGAACCCACTCTCCGGGCCTATCAATTACCAGACGGAATCACCTAGCTAACAATTTATATAGCTATTATTTTAACTTATCATAGTCTTATTTTTATAAGCCCATTCTCCGATAGTGACTGTAAGTCATATAAAATATATTAGATAATTGAAAAATCCTGGTATCAGTCTATCGTCCCTGGTACCAGAAACTGTGATATCTGGTATAACTAATCTATGTAAAATCTTTAGATTGATATTAAATAAAATATGGAATTCTTGGTCCAGTGGGACTAGAATTTGAGCTTTTGCGGTGTTATTGTTTTGTGAATATTTACAGAGTTGATTATCTAATGTTAACTAAATTTTCTTCTTGTCCAGGTATAACTCAACATAAAGAATACAAGCTCCTGGTTTTGAGGCTATGCTACCCTGTATTATATAAATAATTTTCCAGTTACTGTCTTATATAATAGATATTTGTAGATTTGGAATAAAGAAAATCTCTGTTTGTATTTTGAAAATAGGAGTTTCTTAAGTGAGGTATCTGATTATATATGTATATTGTTGTACTTTGTTATAACTTATGAAGTTATATCCCCGCCCGGAAGAAATCCTGTGAGTTGAAATACTTTGTAAGTTGATATATAACTGGCACAGGCTTATTTTTCAACTCCTTAGCTAATTAGATATTCTCTTTACCAATTGAAATAATAGCGTAAGATCCAAATAACAAATCCCTTTCGGGGGGTGGTGGGTCCTAGATCTAGAACCCGCTCCTATATTATTATACTGAAGGTTAAGGAAGTTTACTTACACCTATTGCTATATCTGATCTTGTGCAACAAAAGATACACGAACTTCAAAACCAACATTGGTCTATATCTTCCAAATATACCTTCGGTACTGGGCCAGCTCCATCAATAAAAACTGTTCCTGCAGCAGGTGACCTGGCAGCAGGGTCTTGAATATTATATCTATGGACCCTGGGTCTTGCATTATCCTCCAGATTCTCCAAAAGAATAGCCTTAATAAGATCCTTCTGATCTGGCAAAGCAATGGCACCTTCAAAGACACCACAGACTATACCGGAGTTTTTGACACCGGGGGCTAGGCGGAAATCTTTCTTGTCTCGCAGAATGTCGAGGAGGTTCCCCATTTGCTCCCGTGTATGATTCTCGGCAGCCTGGGGATCGTTTGTCGGAAATGGCAGGGGGGAAATATGGGCTAGGATGGCCCCTTTCTTGGAAACGATCATGACAGCAGTAAATTTAAATTACAGACCCGTTCGAAATCGCCTTCCATATCTGACATATACACGTTTGCTTTCAAACCTTAAGTGCCAACACCTGCTATTTTGCATAAGGTTAGCCCTGTACTATAGCTTTGTAATAGCCACAGGCAGTACTATACTGAAACAAGCTTATGTATATACAATCAATACCGTATAGTTTTATTTCTTCTGGTTCACTTGGATAGATTCAGGAATACCCAGGCTTTAGCGGTAAGCAGCAGCGAGACGCACAAGAGGGCAACTTGTTACAGTGATGATGATGATGATGATTTCATTTACCCTGTCCCCTCGCGAACGATATGCAGGATACAACAACTATATATATCCGAGTATGTACATGTAGAGTCTTCCACTTCCTGAAAACGAACTTAGAGCCTCGTCACGGCCTGTCGTGGCCTAATTGCCGCTCCTGTTATTAGGCTGCCCTCGTGGCGCGCGACTGCGAAACCGTTGTGACGCCTCGGCGAAGTCCAGCACGGCGTTGACCGTTTTGGCCCGCGAGATGCTGTCTGGATTACCTTTCTTACCTTGGTTTGAGCCTCCCAGCAGACTCGATATGCTATTGAACGCGTCCCCGACTTCTCTCCTTAATTTTTTCCGCAGCCCTTTTAGTCTCGGGCAGTCTATCACCACATGGACGACCGTCTCCCGCGCACCGCACGCG